CACGGAAATATAATTAATAACTGAGGAAAAATCAGAAAAGAATTAGAATAAAAATCAAGAAAAAACAGAAAGGTTAGTGTACGCCTATATTTAGAGTAAAGGACCCCTCGGCGTCCTCCGTCCCGCGCTAACTGTCCTCTCCGCTCCAGGCAGGAAATAGAGGGCGTTGAGCAGCCCCTGGATCGGTCGTGGCGCGACTTCGACGCGGCCAACCTCGACCTTCTCATGGACCCGGTCGGCACACCTTTCAAGTAAGCATCGGGGAGGCAATAATTCCTCTCTGGCTCGTTTGGAAATGGACGCCGTAGCCAAACGGCAACCTAAATGATAATCACCCCTCGTTCGTATCGGCGGACCTAACTTTTCCCCAGGACGACGTTCGGGACCATCCTGGCCTTCCAGATGCACCGCCAGCTTTGCATCATGGCTGGTCTGTTCGACGCCGAGGACCCGACACGCCTCCCACTGCACCGCTGCAACCTCCTGAACCAGCCTGTCGTCAGCAACCTGCTCAAGTACGTCCGAAAATAGGGGTGGCGTCGCACGGGGGGGGGGGGATCCGCGTAATGTGCAAGCAGAATCGGTTGCCTACTTTACCGCTGAGTTTTAGGTCGTGCAGACGTATAGGGTACCTGACCCCGTCCGTTCTCGGTGCAGGAAAATGATGCAGGTCGGGGGTTCAAAGCCCTGGCAAGAAGTCCTGGAGCAGACCATCGGCACCAAGGAGTTGGATCCCTCGGCAGCCACGACCTACTTCCAGCCGCTGCACAAGTTCCTCGAGGACCACAATGTTCGCACGGGGGAGATTGTGGCCTGGGGGAAGAGTCAGAAGGGTAAGTTGCGAGTTGAGGCCGGGACCGAGGATGTCGGGGCCGGGACATGGCCGCGAGTTGGGGTGGTCGGCAAATGGAGAGCTGTAAGCTTGCCATGATTTTCCTCCCATAGAGTGCGGTCTTCCCCGGTACAAGCTGATGGAGAAGGACGCGGACGGCGCCGCCAGGGGGTACTACTCCTGCCCGCTGGGCGAGTTCTCCGAGGAGCAGGACGCCGACACGACCGCCGCCCCTACGGCAGCGCCGACCACACCAGCCCCCACGACCGTCGACGCCACGACGCCCGCCCCCACAGCAGCGCCGTCGGCGGTGACGTCAGCGGCGGCGTCCTCGGGTCCTCCAGCGGCAGCGGTGACAACAGCAGCCTCCGCCACCTCGGAGCAAGTCACCGAACAGGCGCCCGCCGCGTGAGCGTCACGGCCGCGCGCTCGCCAGGGCTGGACATTCTCTTCATCTTAAAGTGGCAGACTCTGTGGTGGCATTGGGCTCAGATGGCGCGGGGCGGGGGCGGCGAGGGGCCGGCGGCGCAGGGGTTGCTGGGCCGCCCGGGGGCCTGCTGTGTGCCGCGAGGTGGCTCACTATCAGTTACCGACTGAAACACTGATGCTGTGGCTGACAAGGTGTTGCGGAATGAACGGAAAAGAAACCGCTAAATTAGGTTGCACAAGCTCATCCTAAGTTTTGGAGGGGAGGGGAGGGGGGAGGCAGATGGTTGTGTGTGAGGGGGTAACAACTTTGAAATTTGGTGTACATACGCCAAATTCCACCAATTTAAATCTGGCGTTGCTGATATTATAATATCTGACTCAGGTGTACAGACTGTTTTGTGAGTTGTTACCCCCTCCGACTGCAACCATTATATTTTGACCTGTGGTCGGATATCTCTTTGGTACGTGACATTGTGGGTCATATCAAATACGTTTCATAGGTTAATATTTCCAAAGTGGCATACCTACCTTGGGATGGTAGAAATCTACATTACTTTCCTTTGTGTCATGCACTATTTATCATCCGTAATGAAATATAACATGTAATAAAGGAATTGAAATAAAATGTAAGCGTTTGTAATTTGAAACAAAGTGATACCTTTTACTTCTGTGATGTCTTTTGTAATTAGCGAACAATTTCTATTTATTTTTGCTTTTGAAATAAATCAATTAAGATCAAATTGATAATTGATCAACATTCCTCCCTCATAAGTCTTGGCATGACAATATTCCAAGATCCTTAAAATTTATTGGGCGAAGGTTGTTGCTGTAGTGTGCCTGTCCCTACATTATGTTTACAACAATGTGTTGAAGAAGTTGTGCACGGGAAAGTTGATAGTGGAATTTGTAGCACATAATCTTTATTACAAGACAACCAATACAACATTTTGAAATACTGTTGAATAATGGTAAAGGGTCAATCACATTGTTCCCACCTTGTTCAATGCTCTCCAAGCAAGGCATTATTAAACCTTTTAACCAAAAAGAGAAAGATTAGAACATCGATTGATTAACGTAACTTACCACCTGGTCCACTAATAAAACACTCATTACTCAGACATTTCCCATTCAAAAAATCGCTAGTTTTGTCTTTAAATACAGGAATAATTTAACTCCTTCTCATCCTCAGGGATGTTAATAAATAATTTTGTTCGCGGTGAGATAAAATCCCGGGATCATCCTCGGTAAGTGCGAGCAGTCTGTTGAGGAGGTCGTTCATTCGCCAATCTATGGCTTCGTCTCGGGGCACTGTGGCATGAAGCGCGTCACTATCGTCCACCTTGTCTATAGTCTCGACGTTGTCGTCCTGGGCGGGGTACCCAAGCACAGCTTGCCGCTCAAAGGTAGCGGAGGGGAAAATGCCTAGGCTCGGCGGCGGGCAGACCGGCGCCTGGGTCCGGAGACGGGCACCTCGCCGCCGGGGTAGGTGTCAGCGGCTCGAGCTGGGAGCAGCGGCGGCAGACGAGGCTGCGGGAGCCGGAGCCGCCTTAGCCTCAGAGCTGGTCCTTTTGCAGCCTGTGTGAACACAATAACAGTCGTTAGCTACAAATACCAGCGGCTGAGGGGTCGTCCAGTAAGTGCGTCCGTTTTTATCAGATTCTTTCGCAAATTACGGGAGCTTGGCGCCTGCGAGACTCTGGGTAGGCCACTTCGCAGTACAGGCATGCAATGCAGCTAAGTTGTTGCCTACCTACCAGGCGCTATGAGAGCTTGATTAGGCCGAAGTAGGCAGGTCCGTAACGGCAGTAGAATACAGGTGCAACAATTACTTACCGTGTCGAGGGGCGGAGGCGTCCCAACCGATCTTTTCGCCGGTTTTCTTGTTTTCCTCCTCGAGCCACTTGAGGAGCGGCCTGAAGTACGCCATGAGTCCGCTGGCGTCCATCTTGCGCTGTCCGGTCACGATCTCCATCGCCTCGGGCCATGGCTTTGACGAGCCCAGCGACAGCATTTTCCTACGCACGGGGACGAAAACGGAACAAATCGAGTCAAGGACAGAGCAACACTACTACGGCATAGTTATTGAACTTTGCGACTCACCCGAACAGGTTGCCGGCCTCCTTGCTCTGGTAAATGTCGCACTGGTGCAGTGGCATGCGCTCGGGGTCCTTTGGGTCGAACTGGCCAGCCTTTTCACAGAGGGCAGCGTGGAACTGGAACTGGATCACGTAGCTCACGAAGTACCTGATGTATGGCACGCTGGCGATGGTGTGGTACTTTGAGCCAGGATCGAAGTTGTCCTCTGAGCGATCGACGGGTGCTTCGATACCCTGGTACTCTTGCCTGAGGAAAACAGAGGGTGGTCTTCAAAACAGAGTTTGTGAAACAAGCATCCTGCACCTGGGACTGGGCCCACCACTGACCTGAGCCTCCACCACTCGCAGTTGTAGTTGTCCGGGCTGGTCTTGCCCTTGAAGACGTCCCACCGCCACAGGTCCATGAGGTAGCCGAACGGCAGGAAGGCGATCTTCTCTAGACCCATGTTGTACAGGTAGTTGAGCTCGCTCTGAGGGTCGTCCTTGGAGTCGGCGGGCAGCAGGCCGACCTTGCGCAAGTGCTTGGGGGTGGACACTGACAGGGCGATGGTGTCGCCGACGGCCTCGTGGAAGCCTGGAAGGAGAGTGTACTTTCCAATACCGACACACATGCAGATATTTGCTGCACTTCTGCCTACAGACAACACACATTGCGCTACTAAGTGCAAGTGCAGTGTAGCATACGAAACGGGCGAAAAAGCGCGAATAGTACTGCGGCAAAGCGGGCACTACAGACTGCTACCTGAGTTGGCGCCCCGTCTGTACACCTTGGGCAGGTGCTTGTACTGCAGGTAGTACTGCACGTGCCCCATCTCGTGGTGCGCGGTGATCAGGTCGCGGTGGGTGATCCGCGTACACTGCTTGATCCTGACACAAGACACACAAGGGTCTTACTCGAAGGCGTCCGCGTCACTCACCTGGGTTTGCTCCGTCGCGGTACGAGGCGGGCTGGTTCTTGTACTGCAAGAAGTACTGCACGTGACCCATTTCGTGGTGCGCCACCAACAGCTGTTCCATGGTCACCTGCGTGCACTGCTTGATCCTGAAGGGTCAGACTGTAGCGTCAAGCAAAAACGACAAGAAAGGGGGGAGGGAAGGGGGAGCTAAGGTATACAGAATAACCTAACAGCGGACATTACAAGAAAAATAAAATAGAATGCACACACTTGAAATATGGGATAGAAGCAAGAAATGTTACAAACACGAAGGAAGCACTCTGGGCCAAACCAGTCAAACTAAAACAGCTCTTCACTTTTTTCAAGCCTGTTTCTATCAAATCCATCGCAAACTTACCTGAAGTCTTCGCCATCGTAGAAGTCCCAAGCCGAGGCGTGGCAGATTAGACTGCGTCCCTCGGGCTTCTTCAGGATGGACCGCTGCCAGAAGGTGTCGGGCATGGCGCTGAGGTTCAGCGATGTGAAGAACTCCTCGGACATCTTGAACATCTTGATGGCGTCGAAGCCCTTCTCGACCATGGCCGAGGTGGCGTCGACGGGCTGCTTGCCCGGGTACGGCGTGGAGATGTCGTAGACGTTGCCCCAGGTCTGCGACCACATGTTGCCCAGGAGGTGCGCCGGGATGAGGCCGTCCTTCTTGACGACGGCGTCGCCGTACTGCTCGTTGAGGCGCCGACGCACGTAGGCGTGGATCTGCTCGTACAGGGGTCTCAGCTGCAGCCACAGCTCTTGGATCTGGTTTCGGAACTCTGCCGATTCGTAGTCCTTAACCCACTCCTCGGAGGCGTCGCTGAAGTCTGCAGTTGGGAGGTTACTCGGTGAGTGCGAGATTGGACCCGGGATTATCGGGTGAGGAGGTTCGTCGAGTTACTTACTGTTGAGTCGGGCGGCCTCGTTGGTCAGCTCGACGTACTGGACGAACTGCTTGCGCACCTTGTCTCCGGCCTCCTTACGGAACTCTGCCCATACGTGCTTCAGCTCCTCCGGGTCCCTGCTCTTGGCTAGCAGCAGGGTCAGCTCTGCAACAGGACAATGGCGAGGGGAGCAGGCGGTGAGTTGTCCACTCTTTTGCAGTGCGCGTGACCTTCCCCCGTTGGTTCAGAAGCAGGAGCGAAAATACACAACACAAATACACACTCGGAAAGAAGGGGACGAGGGGTGGCCATTTTATTACAAAGTGTCAGGATCTCCTCTCCTGGCGAGCAAATACACACAAGGCGGCGGCCGCAGGGTGACAGGAGGGGAGGGAGAGAGGGAGGAGAGAAAGGGGGGGGGGGCAGCAGAGCCATTTT